GTGTGTATATCTGACAACTACTGGTTGGGAAAAAAGAAGCCCTGCATTACCTATGGCTTGAGGTGAGGGTTTTTAGAGTTTTTTGAAAAAAATGTTTAGGACTTATTGTGTTTGAACACTGAATTTACACTGTAACTCCTGAGAAGAATTTTAGAACTGATACCAGCCATTTTCCTTCTCAGTCAACCCAACTGATTTAGGTAATTCTGGGAGTCTGAGAACACTCATTACTACACAAGTTATATGTGACTAGGGTATTAGTCTCCCCCCTAGCCTCCCACACCCACCTTACCTGCAAACCAAGATCATGGTTTTTTTTTTTACTTATTTTTCACTCCGCAGTTAATACTTGATGATGACTCCTCTCTGAAATGCTTAACCCTTCCAGGTTATGAGTACATTTCCAAAACAATATTATTCTCTAATTCTCAAGTACAGTCATTGAACCTCTATTATGCGGCCACCTATTAAGCAGCCACCCCTTTTTAACCAGCCAGTTATCAAAGTCCCGAATTTATTGTCAGTAGAATACTGTAAATAAACCCCCTAATAACTGACCACCTCTATTACAGTTGTGGCTACCTTTTGGTTGTTCTGATGAGGGTTTTTTTATTTTCTTTACCCCTATTAAACAGCCGCCCAAAATTTAATGCACGCAAATTAACTTTGTTTTGGAAAAGGCAATGACAGATAAGTGTCCGAAATAGAAGGCGACAAGTGATAAAAACTTGCTATAGCATATCATATAATAGCGAAATGCATACTTATTTGGGTACCATGTTTAATCCCAGATGTTTGTTGTTTTTCCGAGTCCTGTTTGCACCAGAAATTTCTCACACCATCAATGTTTTTAATTTTTATTTTTACCTGTTTAGTATAACTGCGTCACATACAATATATGCTGTAAAAATTGATCTTACTTTTTAGTTTAATCTTCTTTGTCTTTGTCCTCCCTCAGAGGAATCTGCTATTTCAATGTGGAGGTTGCTTGTGCGTCAAAGGATCTTCACT